TAAAAATTGCCTAATATTCATATTTGCCTTAGATTTTGCAGCGACCTCAAAGAAGACTCAGGACAGTTGATAAAATTCTGCAAAAAAGCACCCCAAATGAGCGCTCACAAGAGGCAGCTGATTTTGCACATGTTTGCAAGGTCTAACTTGTAAATTATGGCCAAAAATAGACTTTCTAGACACAGACAAGGCCTCCATATAAAACAATAAAATATGTGAATGTGACTATTGCTCTTTTAAATTCATATATCAGCAATGACATATTATTGCTTCTTTTTTTGGCGCAGTGTTTTCTGCATATTTTCGAACTTTTAATGAAGCAATCTTTGCTTATGTTAGTTTTTTCACGCACTAAAATGCTCCAGGCCCTTTTCAAGCTTAACAATGTCCAAAGGTGGGCGTGGCCCTCTCTCAGAACATTTATTGGTTCTCTTCCCTGTTCTGCTGCAGTTCATCAACTCCACATTTGAGAATATAGCTTTACATAGTGTTGATAAAACTTGCTGGACATTCATTAGCATCCAGTGGGAAAAACCAATTTTAAAAGATTATCCTGCTGACTGAACACCTGACTCGATTGCCACAACCCTATCTTCAAGCTTCCTTATTTCTTCCCTCCTCAGTGCCCGTATTTCTTCCTTGATCTGATAAGAAAGGAAACAATTACTTTGAATAGGGAAAAGTCACAAAACCTCAATCCTGCCATATGTGTCTAATTAAGGCATCCTACAGACCTCCAGCTAGACTTTAAGATAATTGCAGACCCAAATATGGCAACATTAATGAAATAAATATGTCTTGTATAATGGCTGGAGGGAGTATTGTCACACTTACGGCACATGTTTTAACGCGTATGCTACCAGTGCAGATCCAGATCAGCCTGCACAACCGTGCCGTCTGATCAGGATCTCCACTGTTTGCTTTTATATTCATAGAAGAATTTCTGACTAAGCGAACAGTGGAGATCCTGATCAGACTGCACGAATGTACAGGCTTATCTGGATCTGCAATAGTCGTATTTGCGTTAAAACACGTATCCATGTGGTAAAGGGTTAAGAGAGAAAATGACCAAGGCCTTTAGTCCATTCATAAGGGACATGCATGTTAAACCCGGGTAATATACATTAGTTTTTTTGCAAACCAGTCCTTTTAGAACTCCAAAAATCATAAAACACATGGGTCCTCCTTATGTTATCAGAATTTAGTCAATCCACGTAGTTAGGCTGATGATTTAACTCACCTAACCAGCTAAGAGGGAACATCATTCATGTGAAGTTTGGCTTATATTCGCTCACTAGAAGAGAATTATTAACTAACTTTGCATCAACTTACACATCTGGGCTTTCACTTCTTGAGGTTCTTTTGTTTGCCACAATGACCTCTGCTGAGAACTTTGGCGAACCTATAATTTAAAGAAAAACAGGAACTTGTACAATACATAGTATATTTCAATTATTCTAATGCTAAATGTTTTAAACACCTTAGATGCTTAGTTTTGAAACAATCGTTATTGATTTTTTAATATCATAGAGCTCCTGTAGAGAATTTTAAATCTGTGATATAAGTTAAGCTTAATTTCTTTCAATGAAAGGCTCTAGGTCATAACATATCTCTATATATTAATTTTTTTCTCTTAGGAATATTTCTTGACTTTTTATAGATTTATTATTACATTGTATAAGATAAATAGTTTTAAAAACTCTTTCAAGTATGATACATTGATTATTTCAAGAATGCTTTGTGAATTTTTTAACTCTCTTAAAAATTCATTAAACCTTCTTGAAATTTCTGATGAAATAGTTATGAGTATTTTCCAAGGATATTCAAGTTCATAAAATATTCATGATTTATTTTTTTGAACATTGCATTGATATTTCCAGAACTTTATGAATTCTTCAATAATCTTAAAATCTTCATGAAGTGGGACTAGACCTCACTTCATGAAGAAAACTTCATGAAGAGAGCTTTAAGATTTTTTCAAGAATAGTTCATGAACAGTTCTTTAAAGTATGAAATATTCTTGACTTCATGCATTTCATTTCGCAGGGGATAACAACATGATTTGCAATGATTTCAGTTTTTTTTTAGATAAAACATTTAAAACATAGAATTTAATATGTTATGTTAAAAATCTAATGTTAAGAAGAACATATACATGTAATTGATAAAAAGTGTTAAAATGTGCATTTTAAAATTAAAGTCAGGTAGTCAGATGTACATTGTACAGTAAAAGTAATTTGCCACATAATTTTTGTTTAAAAAAGTCTAGAATTGAAGTTTGTTTACTCATCGCTTCCATACGCATATTGATACTAAGTTCTTCCAGTTCATGAACATGATTTAAGAATGTACAACTTTAAAAAAGACTCAAGCCATCCATTAGAAGCGACGAAAGTGTCATTGTTCAATTCTTCTGCAAATTTCAAAGCTTGTACTTATATAAATGGGCCGTTCATAACAATGTTACATGTTGTCATATCTTGAAACCATTTCCATGTTAATTCATTTAAATCTTCATTTCCAGTCTTTCTCCTTTTACGTTTTCTTTCATTTGGAACATTATTTTCATAATCATCAATGATCTCTGATTTCCTCTTCATCAACCACTGTATCTGATCTTTCCCTACTTTGAACCGCCTCCGTGGTCGAGGGGTTAGAGTCGATGACTTTTAATCCAGTTACCTCTCTGGCGTGGGTTCGATCCCCGGGAGATGCTTTGGTAGTTTAGCGCGGAGGAAGGTAGTCTAGTACTGGTGTAACTCTCCAGGAACGATGGTTAGGAAACTACCCGCCTATATGACTGAACTACTGTTGGGAAAAGGCGTAAAATGAAACAAACAAACAAACAATTCCCTACTTTGAATGTCTCTGCAACTTTTCTCGAACTCTGAACTTGTTCATATAAGCGTATGGCTTTTACCTTTTCATCTAAGGTCAGTGTTTTTATGCCACCGCAGCATCTGCAATGCGGTGGCATATAGCGATTCACCTGTGTGTGTGTGTGTGTGTGTGTTTGTTTGTTTGTGTGTGTGTGAGTTATATAGATTATATAGTGAACTTTAAAAATCTTCTTGTGAAAAAACACTTGTCCAATTTCAACCAAACTTGGCAGGATTGATCTTTGGGTGAAGGGCTTCCAAAGTTGTTGAAAGAATTTCATTCCATGCAGAAATCTGGTTGCCATCGGAACCAAAAGGAATTATAAGAATAAATTTAAAAAATCTTCTTGTAAAGACCCAAAAGGCCTAGAGCTTAGATATTTTGCATAAGGCATTGTCTGGTAGACCCTTACCAAGATTGTTCAAATTATAGCCCTGAGGTCAAAATCGGCCCGCCCCGGGGGTCATTGGTTTTCACTATATGTACATATAGTAAAAACTTAAAATACCTTCTTGTAAAGACCCAAAAGGCCTAGAGCTTAGATATTTTACATAAGGCATTGTCTGGTAGACCTCTACCAAGATTGTTCAAATTATAGCCCTGGGGGTCAAAATCGGCCCGCCCCGGGGGTCATTTGTTTCCCTTATATGTATATAGTAAAAACTTATAGTAAAAACTTTAAAAAAAATTCTTCTAGCAATTGACAAATGCTAGAGGTTAGATATTTTGCATGAAACATTGTGAAGTGAACTTCGAGCAAGATTGTTCAAATTGTAGCCCTGGAGTCAAAATTGTCCCCGCCCCGAGGGTCATTGATTTTCAATATATACATATTAAAAAAATTAAAAAATATTTTTGTCTGAAGGTACAAGACATAAAGCTTTGAATTGTTTCCTATATAATATCATCTATAGGTCCTATACCAAAGTTGTTCATATTTTTCCCCTGGTGTCAAAATTGGCCCTGCCCGGGGGCAGTGATTCTCATTATGTACACATAGTAAAAACAGAAAATAAAACAAATGTTTTCTGAAAGGGAGAAAGCTACAGCCTAAATATTTGACTTGAAATGTTGTTTGGTGGACCTGTATCAAGATTGTTTGTATTAAACCCTTGGGTCCAAACTTTTGCCTTGCCCAAGGGGACAGTGACCTACCCCCAGTAAAAAATTCAGTGGAATACCGCTGGTATTCCAGTGGATTTTCAGTGGAATACCAGCGGTAAACTTTGGTGGTATTCCACTAAAAGTTTACCGCTGGTATTTCAGTGGAATTCCACTGGAATACCATTGAAATACCAGCGGGAAACTTTTAGTGGAATACCACCAAAGTTTACCGCTGGTATTTCAGTGGAATTCAACCAAATTTTACCGATGGTATTTCAGTGGAATTCCACTGAAATACCAGCGGTAAAATTTGGTGGTATTCCACTAAAAGTTTACCACTGGTTTTCCAGTGGAACTCCACTGAAATACCAGCGGTAAACTTTTGTGGTATTCCATTAAAAGTTTACCGCTGGTTTTCCAGTGGAATTCCACTGAAATACCAGCGGTAAATTTTGGTTGAATACTACCAAATACAGAGCCGGACGGACAGTGCGATTTTGATATGCCCACCTTCGGGGGCATAAAAATCACTGGATATTGTAGTTGAATTAGTTGAAAATACAAAATCATTCCAAAGAGCAGATATAATAGCAAATATTTTATATACATTTGTTGGCTTTATATATATAATAGTAAGTATTGAGTCTCAACATGTAGAATATTTCCCTAAACTAAACAATTATTTTGGTTATTCTCTTCTGCTTTGTTTTATAATATTTCCTTGTTAAAGATGCACTCTTACTCCCAAATAAGATTTCCTAAAGTTAATAATATTGTTTTAATATTCTAAAAGGATGAATAAATGTCGAAAACAATGGTTCTTATTAAGGATACCGAGTTTATTTTGAAAGAAATGAGCAAAAAACAGGGTATTTCTGCCTTATGAGACTAAAGTAGACCACAGTAAATCTTTTAGCATTCACCAATCATTTAATATTTTTGCGTTTTCAGCTGTTAAATACACGGTTATAATCTTGTTATCAGTAATTAATATTTTCCATAAATGCAATATTCACAAGAAAAAATTTCCAATTGAAAGAACAACAAATTAAAAAATTGAATAAAAAATCTCTAAAATGTTTGAAACATGGACTACATCACTGATACAGTGTTAAAATGATTGAACTTGCTATCCTAGAAAGTGATTGCTTGTTTTCATTTATTCAATTTTAAAATAACTGTCATGCATTTTTTCCAAATTTTTAACAAAACACCGCTGAAATTCCCAATCTCATGGGTATGGATCATGTTCCCAAAATACGGGGAAAAACGCTGACCTATTTAAGCTATTTCTATTTATTATTTTCTAATCTTGACAATACTTGGACAAATATATGCAATGAAATTGGGGCTAAAATAAAATATGTTTGTTTCACCTTACAAACAGACAGAAACTTTGTGACATATTGTGTTTTCATATTTGACTTTCCAGGGGCATTTTACAAGAGCAAAAGGCAACATGAAAGGAGCTATTATGACAATAAAAGGGAAAGAGGTCCAAAGGGCCAATTTATTTAACAACGAGACAACTCAACTCAACATGGAGAATAATTCTACTAATTTATATTTAAATCCATCCCTGTATTATAGAAATTATATTCTCAAATGAATGATTTATTTTGTTGTTGTTTTTTTTACCTAAGACGCATAAATGTGACCTTGACCTTTACCACAGACACTTGAATTTTTAGCACTACACTCCCGCCTTGCTATGGCGAACATTTGTCCCAAGTTATATTTAAATCCCTCCATGCAAGTGGAAGTTACGCTCCAGACACGGATTTGCAGCACTGACTCCCCAAGTGAGACTTTGACCTTAGAGGTACGGACCTGGGTTTTGTGTGTGAGACACCATCCTATGATGGTGAACATTTATACCAAATTTATTTTGTCATCCTTCAAGTAATGAGCAAGATATAGAATGAACAAATCCTGACTTAAAGATGCACATACACCAAACAATATGCCAAAGTGGCAACTAAGTATAACTCAGCGCAAGTTGGCTTGACAATAATTATCGTTTTTCATCCTCCAACAATTACAAGGGTGTGTGTCTGACCCGATGGAATGTTTAAAAAAAAAAAAAAAATTACCAGTCTTGGTAGGGCCGCTTTCAGCTATTCAGCCGTTCAGCCACCCTTTGACATTAACTTCCCCTGTCTCCCAGTTTTGAGTGCAGCCAACATACGGCGCCCGGGAATTTCGAACTTGCACAGACATCGCCCTCTCAGGGTACCAATTCACACCTTGGTCGAGTGGAGCCTCGGAGATTCATTTCTTGTGCCCAGAGAAATTCACGTTAGGCTAGTGTAGGATTCGAACCAGGGACCTTTCGATCTTCAGTCGAACGCGCTACCACTGGACCAACGCGCCCCGTTTAGCCTTACAAAGTGATTTTTGCCAGTCATATTGGAAAATCATAGACAGTTTTCTTAATGTCTGTATTGGGAGGTATATAAATACAATATAATGTTGGGTCCATGGTACAAAACCTATAGCATACCTAAGTATGGGTTAATGACCCAACAAATATATATCTAAATCCTATCAATGAATTGAAATTATTGTCTAACTTAAATTTTTATAATCGATAATTCTATTTTATAACTTTCAATTGGGATTTTTTCCTGTGGATTTGGAAAATGATATTATTTTCAATCGGGAAAACCACCGGCCATAACAAAAAAATCCCTGCAATGTATCTTAACCATTCATGAATATACATTTGTACTTTTAAATACATACTTTGCGCCAATGTGCAGCTTTGTCATTATAATCAAATCTAAGTTCCTGGCTCTTTTTGATGTCTTTAATGGTATAAAAAGCCAGCTTAATTTCTTCTTTCTGCTCGACAACCACCTTACAGTTTGGTTTGCGAGAATCGTTTATCATTCTGCCATATCCCTGGCTGTAAGTTGCATCAATACTGAAAGAAGAAAAGAAAATCAGCAGACTGACAGACTTGACATGGTATTTCCCAGGGTGGATTTCTTGGTGTTCTACCCTGTAATTCCTGTATTAAAAAATAAGCAAAATTTAGCAGTTAGCTGGAAAATGACAATTTCACAATTAACTTTGTGAAATGAAAAACGAAAATAATCCATGTAGTACTTACCAAAACTCTTGTCCCTTGTGTCGAAAGAAAAACAGGAAACTCCCTACAATTTGTTGTTCACTGCTGTATCTTTTTCAATCCTTCTTCACCAGAAAGGAGCAAACCCTCATAGAAACAAACAAAAGTTCCCTTTTCTATGTCCTCTTCAGCAAAAACGCCCGATCCTGAAAGCAACACCATAGTATCAAGTACTAGATGGAGAACTTATATACTTGTAGATCTAAGATGTGAACATAAATGTATTATCAAGCTAAAACAAAATGCACAGGTGATCTATAAACTGATCTAGGTCTACTGTAGAGGAGGTATTTTGCCATGCTCAATTTGAATGTCTGGCCAAATAAGCCTTTATGAAAAAACTTGCTGGCCAGATTCAACAAGAGGGTCATTATGGCCCTGATATCGCACACCTGAATATAAAACTCTAAATGACAAGGAACAAGTAATATTTTAAACTATAAACAAAAGGAGATATGAAATCTAAACTTCAAATTTATTTCAAAAATAGACAAGAATAAAGATCAACAAAGGAAAGGCAACATTACCTCCCCACCGCCCAAACAACCAAATACAAACCTCATATTGATATCTAAAATGGTGCATGTGTTAATACAACAGTTGCAAAAGAAATGTACATGTTAGGAAAATCAATTACCTAAACTTTTGACCCAAGGGCTTTTATTAAACACTGACTAGATGATGTGTCATACTAAATATCTTTGCTTAAGTGTTTGGGGTTTTTTAAAACAAGTTTTTTAAGTTTTTAATATATACATATAAGGAAAATCTATGACCAACAGGGACGGGCCAATTTGACCATCTTACTGAAAAACAAAAACTACAACAACAACTCACCTATGTATGTGTCAATAAATTTGATTGATAACTGGACAGTTTGTCTTGCTTTTGTCTCTCTGTTTTGACCTCAATGAAGGCATTATGCACTGAAATAAAATTTGATTATAATAACTGAAATTATTTTCAAAGTTTCAAATTGCAATACATAAAAAAATTCTTGTAATGCGCAATTTACTGTCAGGTCTGTCTAGCACCAGCTCATGCAGATTCAACATAAAAACAGAAAAATGGTGAAATTTGAAATTAGAAACATCCACAGATGTGTAACGCTGTACTAATAGAAATATATATATTTTTTCCTATCATTTTTTATTTGGTTTCCTTTTAAATGCAAACGTCTAGTCTATAGCCCAGGTTGTTTATTTTGTCTTTTACCTGTATGAGATTTGATCAGGCTAGGGAATATTGCAAATAAGGCTACAGTATATAGCTTGTTCGGGCTATTTTTTGCTCATTTGGGCTTTCAGTAGAGCAAAGAAAAACATGATTTTTCTATACAGACAGACAGTTACTCAGAAGCTACTGTCTGCAGTATGCTTTGAATGTTTCCAACACAAGAACCTACTGATAAGTAATACTTGTTAAATTGCACACCTTCCAAGTTGCTGTGCCTAGGAAAGCTGGGTGAAAATGAGGAATTATTATTACAACTTGTCTATAAAACAATGTATCTTCACATATTTTGAATATAAGTATTACAAAGAAGATAATTCATATGGATTTCTATTTTAAAGCAATTTGATGCATTTCATCAGCATCCCTGGGTCAGATTCATATAAATACAGATATTAGAAACTGTCCGTAATCCCATAGTTTCTCGTGAGGATCGATAACTTATGTTGATAAAGCGTTTTGTTTGATTAAGACTATTTTACTTGTCACGTGACCTATCAGGCAGACGTTTGTGAGATTTAGCCGCAAACAAGATATGCGGAAGACCGTTTAAAACGACAATTGAAACAGACTTTTTTACAAATGCTAAACATAAACATATAAAGCTAAAAAGAAAATGTTTCTACGAATTTGTGATACTTTCGATTAAGTCATTTTTTTTTCTTTCAGACAGAGACATTTGTCATACTCTCGTCTCGTTTGATGCTGCTATTTGCATTTCCAATCTCTGTGTTTATATGTCTCTGCCTGGTTGCAGCAACAATGAGCTATAATATCCCAATTGAGCTATTGGCAAATAATTAATTGCAAATTATTTAAATTCCCAGCCTGTTGAAAATTGTATGTAATTTGAGGAAAGATTAATTTACAAATTGACTGATTTTGTCGGTTACGAAATGGCAAGGTTACGAAATGACTTGATCCTTTAATTTTGTACTTACGCTACTGTGCGACGACATTCACGTATAAATATTTAACATCTAATTTGTTCATGAAATTAATCACATTTGTTGCCTCCTTTTTTGAGTAAAAATAAACAAAATACAGAGTTTCTGAGCGACTTTGTTCATAAACATCGTAAGTGGAATGATAATTTATCTTCTTTGAATAACAATATGTGGTGCATTGGTCAAAAACATGAAAGTTATTGTTCACAAGAATATATCCCACAGGAGAATATGAGACACCGTCCGCCATTTTGGTAATGTTAAATGATATATTTGTTATAATAATTAATCATTATTTGGGTCTTTATGCTTAAAAAAGTAAACCAACATACCTTCGAAGTAGTGTTTACGTCCCACGTGTTTTCAAACCGGAAGTCTTCGGCTATTATCCTTAAACTGACAGTAAGGACCGAAAAGTTGCGCGCACCTCATATGCGCACCTGCCAACAACTTGCACATGCGCAAACATATGAAAATTATATATAAATATATACTAAACACGGTGACTTTATATATGACGACCCAATTGTAAAATCATAGACCCAATAAGTGTGTTTAAGAATAAAGGTTGAGCACACTTGTTCCGCCCGACAGATACATTTAAGACAAACAATTTTGTTGGGTCCAACATATATTGGGTCTTGACCCAATACGTAGACAAGCCCCAATATAATTTCGAAAAGACCCAAAAATTCGGGTGTAATATTTACCAAACGCCCCAGCACGTTTGTGCTTTTAAAAACATATATATATAATATATATATATATATATATATATATATATATATATATATATTAAAAATACCCTCAGACTCCTGTATATGGAGTCATTATCAGTGACATCTGATTCTGATCATCTGGTTTGCAGTCTGGATCCATATCATCATTACCACAGCCATCACCATCATCTATATTATCAGTGAGGTCTAATGGCACACATGCTAAAATGAAGCACTGGAATGATTAAAGTGACATTATGCCCATTCAAGGGTATATAGTGAGTGAACATGTGAATATATAAATAAGTTTTCATTTTGCAATAATTCCTTTTCATTTAATAATTGACTTTGCAAAAACAATAAATAACGCACAGATACTAAGGAATTGTCTGCAAATATCCATTAGAATTTACATGTGCCGTTTGTAAAAAGAGTTGGACTGTCTTTTTATATTTAAGGCAGATTTATAATTTTATCCTTAACATTTTCAAATATCACCTATTGGTCAAAAACTATTTTAACAGTCAAAACTTTTGAAATATAAAGTCAATTCAGCACACTTTGACTATGAAAATATGAGCACAATGTCACTTTAATATAACACGGATTTGATGTAGTGGTCTGCACTTCTTGATTAAAAATGCTGTAGTCAAAAATGCTTATGTCAATATATAGACAAATAGACAGAAGATTTAGATGATGGCTCTGTTTTATTGATAAAATCCTTGTATAGGTTTCAATTATCATCAACAAATCCTGAGACCTGACAATCATGTCAATATTAATTGATACGCATAAAACTCACATTTCATAGAACTATCAGGCTTAGTGTGTGTGGCTGCAGAATATTCTTCTGTCATCTCAGTATCATTTGGAGTGTTGGACATGTCTCCAGTTATCTTCTCTAGTGAGTTCCCTATGTCAAATTTGTCCTGCTCTTTAGGCCCGGACTCTCTAATCTCAGCCACTTGAAGAGTGGGGGTTGTATCCATGGAATAATCTGTGATTTGTTCATCTACCTTCACATGCTCTGGGGATTACAAATTGATTTTCAATTATGTATAATTATGCACCAGTCACTTGTTGCCCCCATCCCATTGGTCCTGGGAATAGTGGAGATTTCGATTTTCAGTTTTACAAACCCACGCATAAGCCCTGTACTGTGCCTGCAAACCTCAGGATCTGATCCCGGGATTTGTGAATTAAATAACCAAATTTGTGTAATGAAAACTGTCCTATTTAAAGTTCATTAAAAATAAATGCAGGCAAAACCTTATATTCATACATTTTAAATTCGAGGTCTATAAACTAAAATGAAGAAACAGGCGCACATACACATATAACTCATTCTGAAAGATAAGTCAACATTTTTGTGGACCAAACAATAGACAGGTAGATAAAATTACAAAACTCCTTACAAGAGACTCACCTATTGGCAGATTATCAGGCATAGCAAGTGTGGCTGCAGAATAATCTTCTGTCATCTCAGTATCCTTTGGAGTGTTGGACATTTATCCAGTTATCTTCTCTAGTGAGTTCCCTGTGTCAAATCTGTCCTGCTCTTTAGGCCCGGACTCTCTAATCTCAGCCACTTGAAGAGTGGGGATTGTATCCATGGAGTAATCTGTGATTTGTTCATCTACCTTCACCGGCTCTGGGGATTAAAAATTGATTTTCAATTATGTATTATAATGCACCAGTCATTTGTTGCCCCCATCCCCTTGGTCCTGGGAATAGTGGAGATTTCGATTTTCAGTTTTACAAACCCACACTTTAGCCCCGTACTGTGCCTGCAAACCTCAGGGTCCAATCCCAGAATTTGTGAATTAAATCACAAAATTTGTGTTATGAAAACTGTCCTTTTAAAAAGTTCATTAATAACAAGAGATGTCGGTAGGACAGCAACGCTCAACTACTATTAGTGCTTTATAGTAAAAGAGCCTTGATAATGTAAAATTTTCTAAGTAAACAAAAGGGCCAAATTTTCCTTTAAATCCATGTTACTGTAATAGGCCTTGAAGAGAGTCCTATTATGCTCTCAAAGAAGAGTATAAATTTTTAACTTGTTTCAAAGCCAGATGTCAATAGTATATGAAAATATGTTTGAGGTGGTATGCAAACTTTAACGTAAATTCTAAGTCAGAAAAGGGGCATAATTCTGTCAAAATGCTTGACACAGTTACCTCCTCCTGTCTACAGGTTAGGGTCATGATGGTGAACAAGTGTGCAAAGTTTCAAAGCCATATGTCAATGGACTTTGAAAATATTTGAGTTATTACAAAAACTTTAACATAAGTGGTTACGCCGACGCCGACACTAATGCTCGGGTGACTACAATAGCTCTACTTATTCTTTTCGAATTGTCGAGCTAATAAATGCAAGCAAAACATTACATTCAATTCTTTTAAATTCAAAGTCTATAAACTAAAATGATGAAACAGATGCAAATACACAAATAACTCATTCTGAAAGATAAATCATCATTTTTGTGGACCAAACAATAGACAGGTAGATAAAATTACAAAACTGCTTACAAGAGACTCACTCACCTATTGGCAGATTATCAGGCATAGCAAGTTTGGCTGCAGAATATTCTGCTGTCATCTCAGTATCCCTTGGAGTGTTGGACATGTCTCCAGTTATCTTCTCTAGTGAGTTCCCTGTGTCAAATCTGTCCTGCTCTTTAGGCCCTGACTCTCTAACCTCAAACACTCGAGGAGTGTCAAGTTTAAAAATGAAATTTGAAGAAAACACTTAACAATAAAGACCGCACCAACGTAAAACTGTTTTAGTTAAGGGACTCCTGACAGACCCTTTTAATGTTTTTCCTAAAGCTGTCAATGCTGAAACATGTATAACAAATTTTTGGTATTTGTGATCTTTTGGTATTAAAAAAAGAAAAAAAGAAAAAATAGCACAGAAATAACATCAGGTTGGGTTTGTTTAAGTTCAGGTTACAATACTTTCTCATTAAAAAAGCAATAGTAATCTAGAAAACTTACCCGCCGACAGCGGACGCTTGGCAATTTTGAGCGGACTCCTTTGAGGTTTGACTGCCTTTGGCGGGGCACATTTATGGTGCAAATCTTTCAACTGCTTGTCAACCTCCCTCTTCCTAAGTCGGGACATATTAAATGTTGGTATGGGGGATTCTGACATCCTTTCAGTCCCTTAAACATAAAGAATGGGTGACATTTTCTCTCCTGAAAATATTGGAATTCCAAGACCTCTCTCTTAACCTACATTGTGTACATAAATATGAAAATGGCTCTAAACAAGTTATACTTGTTTTTATTCAATCTTAGTCACCGGTAACGAGTCTGGCTAGGAGACATACCATCTGACATTATACTCTTTTTTTTTGATACACATAACTGTATATTTAACATTTCATATGTGGTTCTTTTCTAGTCCCAGATGTTATTGGTATTTTCCAGTTAAAAAAACCCATAACAACTGGCATGTTAAATGGTTAATCTACATAACTGTCCCATATGGTTTTCTATTTCATCTTTATGTCAATATTTTAATGCATTTGAAAATATTTTCTAAAAAAAAGTATCTTTGCATATTCATCAATTTATTTGACATTTACAAACTTAAGACTTGTATAAACATAATGGAAATACAAAATACCGGGCAATCCAGGCAGACTAGATATTCTAGCATCATTTGGGGCTCCATCAAGGCCTGACAGTTTATTTGGCTCTCCTTTCTCTCCTGTAGGGTCAGTCAATCCTGAATTAGTCAAGGAGTCATGAACAGTCGCCCATATTTCAGTTTACTCTGGTTTGTGACGCTACATGCTTTTTGTCAGTGATTCTAAGTGGTACAAACCTATCAGGAGATCAAACAATCAGGGATAAATATTTAATAAAAGCGGACACACATTTCACAAATTATGTTCACATCAGCTGCATATTAATGGAATATGTACAATCTAGTGATTTCTCACCTCCGGCCCACTGTAAGTCCTGTTAAAAAGTCTTCAAAGTCTTTTGTTTGTTTTGTTTCTTCAATATTTCTAGACAGATAACAGAGAGAAATGTTAAATTCCATTTAAATATCCTATTAAAGCTACTATCCTACACATTGTACTATGATTGTAGTTTTGGCGATTTTGAAATAAAATGCCATCACAAGAAAAATTTTCAGCACAGGCACGAACATATGGAACTAATGATTAATACATATCTTGTCTGATGAAACAACACCTAAGTAAAGTTTTTGCAATGTTCATCATGCTGTAATTTTAAACAATTGCAAGGTTTTATTTTGTAAATATTGACTTAAATTTTATAAACACACCCATTAACTGGTTGCAAGAATATCCGTTGATTGCGGGTGGAAAAGTTGGGCGCTTGGTACGTTTTTTATCCTGCAATCAACTGCTGCATAATATATCATAGAATAATATATGTCTATGAAAAGAAGCAAAAAAGAAGATAATATTTAAATAATCTGGTTTAAAACTAACATTTATATAGTAAATTTTACCTGCATCAAGCTGACCTACTAGCTACATGTGTGGTAATAGGGGTGTTTATATCTTTATCAAAGATAGGCAATGAGTTTCAGCGATCCGAGTTCAAGCGAACAAAGTTTAACTGTACTAGATAAAAGTAAACAGTAAGATGAAACTTTAAGCCTCCTAAAATCAAATGATATTGGGTTTTTAAACATTATTTTTCCGAAGTAAGCTAATTTAGTTAAAAGTACCTGAAGTTCAAATAATAGCCCACTTTCTTCAGAAGTCTTTTATCTAAAACAAGACTGGTCAAATCTTTCAATGTTGCAGCATCTTTTGAGGGATTCAGCCACAGTTTGTCTCGAGCCTCTTCTGCTGACAGGGGTTCATGTAAACATCCTGTCTGACCATTTCCATCTGGTAACATCCACTCATGTGTGTTTGTGATGTGGTGAGGACACTTCTCCAGATACTCTAAACACATTGCAATATAACAATTAGAAATATAACATTTAGAAATATATACCAAATTACACTGGAATTTCCGAGCATGCATTTTAACATGTTCTCCTTGGAAATCTACAAAATTCACAATTACATAAACAGACATCCCCAATTCTGTCTAAACATTAATTTCAAAGCAATATTTTTTTTTTCACAAACAAGTGTATCACTAATTAAAACTTTCAAAAGAAGCGAGCAAAGCTAAACACATAATACATGTACTGTTTTGATGAAATCAACATTTATGAAAAATTCTTACCACAAATTGACTGCAAGTGTTTGCTTCTTTGCATGCAAACCAGAAATGGTTGATAATGTCCTTTGACCACTTCAACAATACAGAGTTTTGCTTCTTCTGAGCAATCTATAAAAACAACAACTTTATGACTTTTTTGTCACTTTTTTGGCAAGCTAAAAGCTTGAGCAACATGTCAAGACAAAACTTTTTTCAAGTCATGAACAAAATAGGTTAGGATGAAATTATACAAATTGTATATTATAAAAAACCTATGTCCAATGCAAAATGTAATGTCGCCAACAAGTCACTAAGTGGACACCATAATCACTCATACTTTAAACTGAAGAACAAATTTCCTGCAACGGCATTAAGAAACTGCCACAGCAGTCCTTGTGCAACTTTTCATTTGGTTTGGTCATTTTCTTACTGCAAGTTCGTTTTATGTCAGTAAGTAACTTGTATGGTTCAAAACATAATTATTTAAAAAAAAAAACTCAAAACATAACATAATCACTGCATAGCAATCATCTATGTTTCCAATAATAAATTAACCATAATATACATTTAGTGGTTTAAGTCATTCAGCACAATAGTTTCTGAAATAACTGTTTTATATCTATTTTAAGATTAAAATGGTACCTTTACTATTTTTTTCCCAAGATTCTTTGCAACATGCCAAATATCATGGGAGTGCTTCTTGTCAGGGTATCTGGATTCTGAAATAAGAAAAAAAATGTTGTCTACAGGTCTTACTGTCAGAAAATATTAACATAAACGGGTATTATCACGCTGTGTTACCTCAAAAATAAGCTTTCAATAAACATAGCTAATCAAGTCAATTTTTATGTGCTTATTTTTTGAAGATGCACTAAAGTATGTACTTATCTTTATATATGTAACTGACATGGTAAGTTTTTATCCTTTTATCAATAATAAAGTTGTCACATCGTGCACCAATTTATGTAGTAGTAATAAAGTAAAGTTTTGTAACACATCAGAGAAATTCTTGATGATATAAGGTTTGACATAATTAACTTACTCATGAGTGCTCCTATACCAAGATGAGCATCAGTGACAACTTCTTTTACTTCCACCTGTTCAGACTCAAGCTCACTCATCCCTCTTTCAAACCCTAGTTTTTCCATGTTAACAGACTTTCTATCAGTCATACGTTTATCCAGTGTTTTTATTGTTAAAATCTTCTTGGTTGTATCTTCCATTAAAGTGTAAGAACAATACTGGGAGCAATGTCCTGGTGAGTCATTCCGTCCATCTCCTGAAAGACATAAACAATTAATCTCTAATAAAAAGAGAAAAGTATATACTAATGAAATAAAATATCTACCAAGTTTGTTCATATTAATGCCCTAGGGTCAAAATTAGCCCCGCCTCAGGGGTAGTCGATTTTCCTTTTATGTATATAGTAAAACCTAAAAAATCTTCTTGTGAAAGTCCAAAAGAGGTAGAGCTTATATATTTGGCATGAAACATGCTCTAGTGGATGTCTACCATATTTGTTAAAATAAACCCCTGTGGTCAAAATTGACCCCGCCCCTGGGGTCATAGATTTTCCTTATATGTATATAGTAAAAACTAAATAAAATCTTCAACACACTCTTGCAAGTGCTCCCTCATTTTCCTAACTGGATTGGAGATGCTACATATGTCACAAACAATTTTAAAGTCATCTTCAACAGGAAGTGAATTCATGGGTTGCGTTGAAAGGTTACTCTCAATTGGCCTTATGTAAATTTTTGCTTGAAAGCCATCATATATTTTGAGTTCTTTTGAGTTTCATTTTGATCTTATCACCATTAAGTAATCCTACAGTTCTGTTCCAATCTTAACAGTTAACCCCCCCCCCCTCCAGCTTCTGCAAGTTGGGGAAAGCCAACACCTGTAGACTTCTTCGTAACCTCTGATTATCATCATCATTTGCCAGTCAAATTTTTTTCAACCCAAATCCTGCTTTAATTCAAACTTCTTTTTCACTAACAGTTGGATTTTTTTCAGAAGTGGAACTAGCTAAACAAACATATTGTCCTTTCCACCCTGTCAGTTTTGATGTTTTTGTTTTTGGCAACTCTGAAATATTTCCTGTGACACTTTAAATTTCCCAAAATTGACCATTTTGTAGCAAATAAAACTTTCTTAGTTTTAGACCTACTTTTTAAAGATAATATTTTCTGAAAGGTTAAAATGTGCCTTTTGCCTGTCCTTAGAATCACTTCGCATTTTTTTTTTTACAATTTATCACTGCAAATTTTGTTTCTATCATACAATGAAAATTATTTGAAACTACCCACTCAAGAGCAATTTGCTAAAATATCAGATTTTGATGCAAAAGTGGTAGTATTAGTTATCAAAGAAAATCTCACACAGTAATGCAGAATAGGCCAATATTTTGGTTGTTCAACTATAGTTAAATGTTTATGCAAAATGAAACAGTGAAGTCCGTCTGACCACTGAGTTTTAGTTTCTTCAAGCTGGTACACTGGCAGTCATGGGTGATATTAATCAGTTGTTCTTTAGTTTGAGATTGAGCATTAGCAAAACATTTTGATAATGGTTATGCTTAAATTCTATTATTTTATTGGATAGTTTATTATGCTTAAGTAAACTGAATCTATAATTTTAAAATTTGGCTCAGAAAAGACATAATCATGTATTGGCAATGTTTGAATGTGATGCCATCACAACATGTAGTGGAAAAGAACATACTGCCCCACAGGGGAGGTAACCTGATGGAATAAATGCTCAGGAAACGGGAAACTTTACTAATATTATTAAAGTATTAATCTAACATAAAATATCTTAATTGAAAATACTTAAATTGAAGTGCCCATTGTATATCTGAATGAAAGTTTCAATAGTAGTTGGTTTCTTCTTGAGATGAGCTAAAATGTAGAAAGCTTTCTTAAGACATAACACCCATAATTTGCCATCAGGTAACTTTGCCTTTCATTAATGTCCAATCTGCAACAACCGTCCACCTGGAAACTCCCGAAAATTTGACATCATCTCGTCCCTTTTAAAGATTGATTCAAAATACATTTCCAATGAAAGGCGAAGTATTATGAATCTAATGCCTTTAATCACAATTTATATTTTTCAAGAGATAAACACAAAAAAGGCGCAAGAGTTCATGTTAATTTCTGAGTCCTCTCTTTAACTCAATGCATTAACGATTTATGCATTTTATGCTAAAAAAAACGTTTAAAACGTATATTGAAACAAATTTAGGGGTAGCCAATATGGAAATTAATGCCAACCTAAATTTCGTACAGGTTCAGGTAAAGTCATCATTTTGTTGGTACTTACAACTGTAATCTCTCTAGTTGCATGTGATAGGCGATAGTTTTCCTTGTGTGTTTGCACATGACATGCTAAAGATGTTTGGCAAGAGACTCTAGTTCCATCTCGGACATATCTAAGATCTGAAAGTTCATTTTCAGTCATAAATTTGGTTCATAATGTGAATAAATTATTATTATACACCTTTAAATTTATTACAGCTGCAATGGGTGCCCTAAAAAGTAAGCGGGCCATTTTTGATACCCAAAATACCTGGTCAAGGTTGGCATAAACGATACTGGAACAGATACTGCGATTAGCTATATGGCATAACAAATACATGAAATATTCCAGATTTGCGTAATAATTACCTCCATTCCAACTCAAGTTTTTGAATGGAAACGATTTTTGTCTGTCTGTCCCTCTGTCTGTTAGTCCGCACTCACAGGAGAGTAATTATGTGGCTAGAGGGACAATAGGTAACTGTTCTTTCTCTTTGATGTCATTCATTCCGTAATGCTTTTATGTGGCTATTTTCTTTTGTGTGGCTAAAAAGAACAATAGAGAGAACAATAGAGTAGCCACATAATTACTGTCCTGTGAGAACGTCCGTCAGTCCGTCCGTCCACAAAACTGGATCCCGCGATAACTTGAAAGTACTGAAAATATTTTTATGAAACTTGATATATGGATAGATGGCAGTATGGAGATTATGCAAATCTTTTTCTTTTCTTCCTATGTTGAAAATTCTGGTTGCTATGGCAACAAATAGGCTGAAAATATGGCAAATTTTACACATAAATTGGATCCAGTGATAACGCAAAAAGTACTGGAAATATTTTAATGAAACTTAACATATGGTTAGATGGCAGTCTTGAGATTATGCTTGTCTAATCTGTTCTTCCTATTTTGAAAAAAATATTGGTTGCCTTGGCAACAAATAGGCTTACAACATGGCAAATATAACAATATTTGTGATTAGTCAAAAAGAGCTGAAAATTTTTATGAAATTGCATCTTTAATTCAAGAGTTATCTCCTTTTTAAGAATTTTGCTTTTGAAAATGTCATATTTTGGTAACAGGGATGTTTCAAAAATTAACTTTAGAGTGTCCTTTAGTCCGTCTGTCTGTCTGTTCATAAAAACTGTTTCCTGTGATCACTTTTAAAGAACTTTTCCAACAATTACTTAAAATAGAGAAAAATTAAAACATTAGTGAATGGCCAATGGCCCTTCAGAATGTTGATGGGGTTCTAACCGGTAGGGGACTTATGGATTGCTTGCAATACTATGATAATTGCTTGTTATATTTAAGTTATAGTGACCTTGAACATAGCCATTCCCTCTGACCCAAAAAGCAAGCTCAACCCTTTTCTTCTAATAAGCTTAACTCGCGTCCAAAATTTTGTTTAATTAGCTCATTCCCAACTATAGTTAGGACATAGAACAAGAGATGGTCAAAATATATTGTTATGATGAAAAAGTATTTTTGTCACAGTGACCTTGAAGTAGAATCCCAACAATTGCCTTCACAGGCACTATATATATTTATGTCCTTTTCAAGTGAGGCTGATGATATGGTAAAATCTATAGGTTTTTCCTTCTTATTATGCTCCCGGAAAAATTTCGGGGAGCATAAAGTCGTCGAGGTTGTCCGTCCGTCAGTCAGTCAGTCCGTCTGTACATACGTCCCGAATTCGTGTCCGGCCCATATTTGAACTCGTATTTTTACAACTATTTCACAGAAATGATCATCATAAGAGGACGTCTCGCGAACATTTGGGTCGCTACCTTGAAGGTCAAGGTCACAGCAGGACCTTGCAGCAAAATTGTGTCCGGCCTATAACTTTGTTATTTGAAGTTGGATTTTATAACTTTTTCACAGAAATGATCACCATAATAAACCAATGTGTCGGGTGCAACATTTGGATTGCTTCCTTGAAGGTCAAGGTCACAGCATGACCTTGCAGCAAAATCGTGTCGGCCAATAACTTCGTTATTTGAAGTCGGATTATACAACTATTTCACAGAAATGATCACCATATTGAGACGATGTGTTGCGCGCAACATTTGAGTCGCTACCTTGAAGGTCAAGGTCACAGCATGACCTTGCAGTAAAATAGTGTCTTTGTTATTTTAAGTCAGATTTTACAACTATTTCACAGTGGTATTTCAAGTCAGATTTTACAACTATTTCACAGAAATTATCACCATATTAAGAGGACGTGTCACGGGCAACATTTAGGTTGTTTTAACACTTTGAACTTTGTCTGTGAATTAACTCTGACACTACAAGAGGTATACCTTCCTGTGTCCAAAACCTATTTGGGGAGCATCAACCAGCTCTTTTTGTTTGAAATATTAGACATGAAATGAATTGGCCAAAAAGAACTAATGCTTTATCTGATTGCGCTGTTTCGTTGTTTTTTCTCTGATCATCGACGGAAAAACCTCCTTTGAGATGTATAAATGCTTCTGACAAACCTGCATGTTTAAGATAAACCTAGCTCATGACAATTTTTACTGAAGGTAAGGAATAACCTTGCTTCGGGCATTTATAGACATGTCTTTGGTAGTTAACTTTCAATCTGATCCATCTGAGACACTGTTTCTAAGTCTTCTTACTTTGGACAGGTTAGCACAAAATACATATAACACATTGTTGTCTGCAACTAGAGTAGCAATTGAAATTCCTTTGGTATGTTTAAAAATCGCTTTCGTGGTATGAAGTTCATTGAAATAGAATACATTGTAAAATCAGCTGTATGTGCATATATTCTACATGGTTTAAAGGTACTCAGCAATGACTGGCAATGGCTCTGTTGATGTGGAGAACTTGGGCTCTCTGTACATTGGGTCTCATTTGCAAATTCATCTCTAGGGGCTTCTTCTGCAAAAAGAAATGACATTATGAAATGGTAAATTGAAATATTTTAGATATAAGGAACTAGACTTTACCTAAAGTTTATGGTTACTTAAAATCGATGAATCACTGTCTAGCATTTCGCAGTGGTTATTAAATAAACAAAACGTACTCTTCTTATTATTCAAATTTGTAGTATTTGCTGGACATTCTTTTCTCCAGTGGCTTTCCACAATAAAAACATACGCCTGGTTTCTGTACAACAAATTGCTGCGAAGTGGATTGACTTGTAGCTCGTGCAGGTTCACTCCTGGTGTAAGGCTTGGTTCTAAACTTTTTAGACTTCTTATTGTTCTCAGCTTTATAATTTTCTTTTCATCATCACTGTCGTCTGCTAGAGGATTTTGTTCATACTCATGAACTAACTCTCCATCTCAATTCACTAGCATCCGCCAACTGTATCATCTTTTGTCGGTGTGACAAAATATCCAAGGCTGAAAGAAAAATATGTTACTAAAAATATTTAA